AAGGGGACAAAATTTAAATCCGTTGTAACAAGAAATCCGCTGTGACGAGGTCCGCTGTGACGAGGTTTGACTGTATTTATAAATTTATGTGTAAAAATGAAAGGGAACAACTTTCACATTTTGTTAGGTCATAATTTACATTATTAACTTATGGACCTTGTGGGGTATTTTCTAGAAGCAATGGTCAACACAGTAGCACAATGTATATATACTTAACTGTATGTGTATATGGGACAGTTCTGATCTATCAGTTCTGTAAAGTGTAATAGGTTAATTTTAACTCAATCTTTGATCTTATTTGATTTTAATATTAAGTGGAAATGGAAAACACTAATAATTCAAATTTTTCTTTGTCACTTGTTAGTTATAATAATAATAATAATAATAATAATAATAATAATAATAATAACAATAATATTACATTTTTACTAAGCATGCCTGTATGACGACATTTATTAATAATTTTATGATAAAAATTTTCATCAAAATCCACTAACATGATATGCTCAAATCTTTTTTTTTAGATCAGCTATAAGTTTAGATGGTAAATGAGTAATTACACTTTATAAATCAATCAACCTTTTCCATAAATAAGATGATGAATTCCATCTAGTACTAATATCTTGAATCACTGTATGAATATTTGAATAACTTAACTCTTTTTGCGATTTTCTTTTTGTTTAGGAGTAGCGAAGAAGTTAATTAATCTTTTGCATCTTAAAAACAGATTCTTGAATGTTTATAATGATTTATTTACAACTAATTATTATGTGCGAGCAAAATACAAAATCTATTATTGGTAATGGACTCTTCTGATAAAATTGGAAATTTACCATTAATGTTAATTAAAATAATATCATCATTTACTGATATTTAGAAAGTGTTATGGATGGATATTCGAAGATATAAAAATTAATTGACACGATTTCGAATATGTTAATTAGCATGAATCATTTCGATTTCTGATATTCGAATAGTAATAGGAACAGATTTATTGTTAATATTAAATACACAATAGATATGATGACTACTTCTACCACCTAAGTGTGTATATAAATTCTTGCAATTCACTTGAACTTCCATAAATTTATTAAATTACGTGATGATCTTCAAGCCAATAAAATTTAATTATTGCGTGATATCTATATAGAAAGGGGTCATCACAAAATTTAGCCAATGAAATCAAATTCCACTATGCTCATATTTGATCGATCGATCAATCATATGATTATTTAAAAATAATAATAATGGATAATAAAAATAATAATAATCCTGAATATATTCATTCTGGTAAAACCAATTCATATCGACGTCGTTCTAAGAGTTTATCTGATAAACCTGATAGAAATCATCATCATCGCCACAATCTACAACCAATACAGCAGCAACAACCACAACTACAATGTGGTAATGAACGAGTGATTGAGGGAGGAGTATTTGATGCTAACAATATAGGAAGTAGTAATGTTGTTGCAGGTGATGGTGGAATGATTTCACCTTTTCATCATTGTAAGCATCATCACCATCATCCGCCACCACCACATTCTCATTATCAACCAATTAATAAATTTAATGCTGATATGTGGAAACAGGTTTATCTTACCGTTATTATTAATCTTATCAATCTTTTGTAATTTTTACTAAATGTAATATAAATGATTCTTATATGTGTACAGGAATTTAGACAGAATGTTATGGGGAAATTGTTTAAAGAAGAAAGATTTAAAGCTTTTCAGAATCGTCGTAACATAGAAAGTTTTATGGATATTGATGATGATGATGATGAATGGCAAGAGCAACAAAAAGTAAATGAATTTCAAATATTAATATTAATATAATAATCTTTAATTATTTGTCTAATTAATTTTTTGTAAAATTAAATAAGTTGATCAATAATGTTGTTCAATGTGAATGGCAAATTTATCAAAATGTTACTTCTTCTCAATATCAACAATGGTTACAACAACAACAACAACAAAATATTAATAATTTGCAACTTCAACAAGAAAACTTTATTAATAATTTACCAAGAGAAATTGCTCAAGCTATTACAACTAAAAATTTACCACCTGAATGGTTCTGTCAATACAGAGGAGTTATTAATAATTAGTTACTTATTATCATCATGTGCCATCATTTCATTATTAATAAATAGTATATTTTTTTAAAAAAAAAAACTAAAAAAGCAAAAAATAAACTCATAATTGCTTAATAAAATATCAATATCAATTAGTACCTAGCAGCATCATTATTACATCAGTTGACTTGCACAACCACTTATTTATTCTGTGGTGCAGGAAATCTTAAATTATAATTTTCAAATAATTTTAAGCCTTCAACAATTAAAAAACACATTACAAATCATGAAAGATGAAAATTTGATTTTGTTGAAATTATTAGAGAAGTTTAGAACCCTTTGGTTTTTTTTTAATTTCTTTATTTTTAAAAAAATTTTTGAAAATTAAAAGATTTTTTTTTTGACATTTAATTATGGTAAAGATTTTCAGATTTCTTTTTGATTTTTCACTCTTGACTTATTATAATCCTTTGCAGTTAACAATCAATATTGTTAATATTATTATTATTACAGCATTAGCTTACATGTTGCAACAATGCTTATTACAATAATTTTGTTGGTAAGTTTCTACTTTGGATCCAAATTAACTGGTCAATTGATTCATTGACTGTGATTAAAATAAAATAAAAATGGGATCATTATTATTGTTAGGTTCAAAGTGCTTTAAGTGCATATTATACATTTAAAAATTTTGATGGTAAATAAAAAATTCATTAAATTAATTCAAAAGATTCCTTAATGTGATTTCTTTTTTTTTGCTTTAAAGACACATCATTTTTCAATGAAACTATTGGTATCATCATAGGCATTTGGAATATAGTCAAGGGTGTTGTGGCTGTTGGTGGTCTTTATGGTGGTATCACTGTAACTAATCAATTTTATTTTTTTAAATTGACGATCCAATGAAATGTCAATCCTTTTACTATGGAGGAAATATTGGGGTGTACGATGGACTAATGTAGATCAAAACTAATTAACATCATATATAAAATTTACTAATAAACTTTTTTTCAATAATTATAAAAATAAAAATTGCATTTTCTCATTCAAAAAAAAAGATACAACTATAAAATTAAGATATATTATAACAAATGTAATGGTCCACATGGTGACAGAGAGTTTTTTTTAATTTTATTAATAAAATCATCCAAAATGTTAAAAAATACTGTTAAATTTTGAAACATATAGGCTCAATAACCAAACAAGCTAGAGTAAAAAAATTTCATATTTTTTTTCTCTGTGATTCAAAGAATAGCCTGACAGAGAGTTTTTTTAAATTTTATTAGTAAAATCATCCAAAATGTTAAAAATACTGTTAAACTTTGAAACGTATAGGCTCGATAACCAAACAAGTTAGAGTAAAAAAATTTCCATGGTTTTTTCTCTGTGATTCAAAGAATAGCCTGACAGAAAGTTTTTTTAAAAATTATTAGTAGATTAATGATTTATAAGAATTCAAAGTTATGCGATTTTATTATAAAATTTTTGATCTTTTTTTCCTTCGAAAATCTTTTCCTTTTGAAGAAAATGCTTAATAAAATAAATAACATTATTTTCTCGTTCAATTAATTTTACAGGAGATTCTACAAGGAGTAAAGGTTCTGAGGAATTAGTTTTCGTTTTTTTGACTGCATGTGCATTATGAATTAGTCTTTTTCTTTTATTGGGCTTCAGTATTTCATTAAACACAAAGACTTTTTCTTACGATTCTTATTATTATGAAAAGATACTTTATGTTTTCTTTAAAAGGAAATGATTACCGAAAAAATTTTTTATTAATAAATCGTACATCTTTAATCCTTTAATAAACTTTTTTTTACTAATAAAATTAAAAAAAACTCTCTGTCAGGCTATTCTTTGAATCACAGAGAAAAAAACCATGGAAATTTTTTTACTCTAGCTTGTTTGGTTATTGAGCCTATACGTTCCAAAGTTTAACAGTATTTTTTAACATTTTGGATGATTTTATTAATAAAATTAAAAAAACTCTCTGTCACCATGTGGACCATTACATTTGTTATAATATATCTTAATTTTATAGTTGTATCTTTTTTTTTGAATGAGAGAAGATGCAATTTTTATTTTTATAATTATTGAAAAAAAGTTTATTAGTAAATTTTATATATTAATATGATGTTAATTAGTTTTGATCTACATAGTCCATCGTACAACCCAATAACTTATCTTTATGACATAATTATTTATAATCAAATTATTTGTATATATTGCTCAGTTGACCTAAATATTTAGTAGCATTAGTAATTAGCAATTAGTAAGCTAGCAATACAGAAAATAGGATTAATAAGCATATTTTATTGGACAAAATATTGTAAAGGTCATGTTATTTGTAATACCTCAAGAGGTATAAAAAGGCTTGGTTTAGACCAAGTGAGAAGGATAATGTGGATAATCTTAATAACATTCATAGTAATCTATAACAATTGAATAAATGGGGTTTTTTTTTCTTTTTTCTTCCCCCCCTGTTGTTAATAATTAAATAAACACATTTTACCTTATTACGAATTTTTACATAGTTAACAGGAAAAGCCATTGTGGATTGTTCCATGGTCCTCTCTGATGATTAGTGGCTGGCCACTAACCATTAGTTAGGAACCCCCCCCAGTTTGATTGTTCTATGCTGTTTGTAGGGACGCCTCAAGTGGTATAGTTGTAAATATTTCTTGTATATATTCTTTTTATTTTATTATCTCAGGCTTGTGCCAGCAGTACTTGGCATTAGTACTGTAGAGAGAGAGAGAGAATCGCACAATAGAGAGTTTTGAGTAGGCTCTGAGCTGTGTGCCAATACAGAGGCCTGGTATAGAGTATTGAGAACCCTGAGCTGTGTGCTGATACAGGGAGATTTATATATTGGACTTTTTCATTTATTTTATTTTATATATTTATTGGACACATCACAAGCTGTATTTTACACACTCACAGTATGCAATTTAAAAATTTTTTATGTTAATCTTAGAGTTCATCTTTCTTTGCTCTTGTAGGTTGCATTTTACAAATCAAATTATTTACCTCAATGTAATAACCATTAATTTTAAGTTTCAAAAATTAATTGTTATTTTGAAAAATATTGTAAGAGTTACTTTTCAACAAGATAAATTATGTGTTTTTGAACAGTTACTTTAATTATTGTAAAAATACAAGTTACCTTTATTTCTTAGAGGATAATCCTTTTTATGTTAAAAATACATAGTAATATATAAATAATAAAATATAAATAAACTGTAATTAATCTTATTGTTATAACCTATTTGGAAGATATTTTGAACATAATAATCAGTGTTGAAAATTCAGCGGGAGGGTGTAACGTTACACAAGCCGTGTGCACATATCGTTTTTTAGAAAATTTTATTTATTTATTTTAATATTAATGAATATTGTTTTACAAAAAAAAATTAAAACCTAATGTTTCTTCTTGTTCTTTTACTCTCCCAATGTTCTAATGCTTTTAAAAAATCAAAATTTTCAATTTCTGGTCCATTTAATAAAATCATTAAATGATCATCTAATGTGTCTAAATGCATTTTGTTTCTTAATTTGTTTTTAATTAACTTTGTTTGAGAAAATATTCTTTCTACATGAGCATTAGAAAGAGGTATAAGAAGTGCTATTCTAATAACTAATAATATATTTGGATTACTAAAAGGAAAATCTTCATCAGTATCTAAAATGTGTTTCCACAATTGAATGAAATTCATTTCCCTATTATTATTTTTATAATTCTGTAGGAAAAGTTTTGTTGAATTCCATTCTTGTTTAAGTTCTTCTTTGTCAATGATTCCACTAAATTCATTACCATTTACAAATTTAATTTCTCCATAGAAATTACCTAAAATTTCTATTTCTTGATTTCCGTATAAAACTAATTCTCTATCATCATCTGGAAGTTCACTTGGATCAAAAATATTAAATGCATTATATAATTCAGATTCTGGAAATCTGTTTTTAATAGCATCAATTATTGCAATTGAATATTCTTTAACAAATGGTGGAATGGAATTATAATTATTGTCCAAATATTTTTTAAATATTGTACCATAATTTGGTGGAATCTCTTCAGAGCCTATAAATTCAGTTTCAATTGTTTTAATTGTAACATCAAGTTGTAATTTAAAATGAGATATTGATAAATGTTCTAACTGAAATGTATTGATTAATTTCTTTAAAATATTTGTTAAATCAGCAAGGTACATTGTTGCTGAAATAAAAACATCATCTAGTTGATCATATAAATTTTCTGCAAGCTTATCTCCTTCTTCAATATTTTCATTTAGAGCAGATAATACAGAGTTTGTGATTTTATGTAAATTACTCACAGAATTTGAAAATGACAACCACCTAGTGTCACACATATTTAATATTACAAGCGATGGTTCTTCATTAATTTCCTAGTTAACAGTAAAAATTATTAATAAAAAGTATTGATAAAAAGAATATAAGGATGAAAAAATGGTGATTACCTGCATCATCTTTAAGATTTGTTGTCTTTTATAAGACTTTGAAAAATAACTATACAAATTTTTTAAAGTTTTTTCATATTTCTT